TTAGTGGAAATCCCACGAAAGGGCACAGTTGTAATTAATATTTAAAAAGCACACATTGTTTAGGAACTTCAGCCATTAACGAGCTCGGGCTGTCAGTGTTTGTTGCTGTATGTAAACAATTATGTCCTAAATACTCTGCCTGTTAAAGCCAGTCTCCCAGGGTCTCCGCTTGGAAACGCTGTGGTGATTCATTTGAGTAACTCTCTGTACTAGAGGATGATGCTCTTTATGAACTTGAGAAGATGGGCTTTTTATTTTTAATCCTCACCTGAGGATATCTTTCCATTGATTTTTTTCAGAGAGAGTGAAAGAGAGGGAAAGACAGAGGGGAATACCAATGTGAGAGAAACACATCGATGGGTTGCCTCCTGCACATGCCCCAACCAGGGCCCAGGCTGGGCAGGAGCCTACAACTAAGGTACATGCCCTTGACCAGAGTTAAACCCAGAACCCTTCTGTCCACAGGCCATTACTCTACCCACTAAGCAAAACCGGCTAGGATGAGAAGGTAAGCTTTAAAATGTGTGTGTGTGTGTGTGTGTGTGTATATATATATATATATATATATATTATATATTATTGATTTCAGAGAGGAAGGAAGAGGGAGAGAGAAATGGAAACATCAATGTTGAGAGAGAATCATTGAACAGCTGCCTCTTACTGGGAATCAAGGCCACAAGCTAGTCATGAACTCTGAATGGGAACTGAACCATGATCTCCTGGTGCATAGGTCCATGCTTAGCCACTGAGCCATGCTGACTGGGCGAGAAGATAGTGATGGTGCAAGATGATGGTGCAAGAAGATAGTGATGGTGCAGATGGCCTACTCATCTTCTAGGCCAGAAGATGAGTAGGCCAAGGTGTAGGCAGAAGGTCATCATGGAGAGACTTGGATGATTTTAGATTGTATTAGATTGCATGTTGAGGGCAGAACAAAAGAGCAGCTGTTGGTTTTGGGGGCTGGGGGGGCGGGCAGGAAAGAAGCAAATACATTTCTACAGAAATACCCACACATGAGGTCAAAGGCAATGTTTCCTAATGTACATTTTGCGACATTTAGCCCTACCAAATGCTCTGGGAGGAAAGAGTTACGTGGACAAATAATTGAGGAGAGAATATTATTTTCTTTCCATAGAGATTTACATTGCCCAAGAGCAAAAAACTTAAGAAATATTGCCAAAGTAAATAAATAACACCCAACACCCAAAACAGAAAACAAAACCTGTTGCATTTTTCTCAATCCAGGCTTTCCTAGAGTTGCGTGGACACATAAGCACCCCCTTTCAGCAGCAGGGCCTTCGTTGGAAAATATTATTCCAGATTTTTACTGGTCATGCTGGGAAGGGGGGGACATAAACCGAATCACAAGATTCTGTGGTCACCACATGGACTTCCCTCCAAGAGAGCCCTGGAGCAGTCCCAAAGAGATGGACATCTACTCTCCTTTCAACCACGGCCCAAACTTCCCTCAGAAGCCATGCCATCGTCTCCATCAGCACCTCCCTCCCACCACCGCCCTGAGTGCTCAGGAGCACAGCGTGTAAAGTGTGTCTGTTCATTCTGCCCTACACCCGGAAAAGGAGTATCTGATCCCCATTGAGATCCCAGGGAAGAGACTTGTGGAATTGAATCTGAGAACCGTGACCGAGGGGCTGCTGAAGTGTCTCCACCGGCGCTCAACAGTGTCGGATCCGGAATCTGACCTTCAGGGATGGCCGGGTATTTTCTGTCTGTCCTTCGTGCCTGTCTGTGCTTTCTCACTACACCCTGGGCAGGTAGTAACACCAGACTTACTTATTGCCCAAGGTTGGTGACAAACATTCGTAAGATAAAGTTCAAGGAGGCACTGCTTATTAGGAGAAGAACGATGGAAGTTCAAGGTGGTGGTGTTGCTTTAAGATCTCTACAGTGAACTGCAGGGTCCAGGGAGGCTTCGAGGTCAAAACCAGCCCCGCCTCTGGGCCTGAAGCGCCATGAGGCCAGCGGGGGCTGCAGAAGGTGGGTGAGGCAGGGCCACACGGGGATTGCTCAGCAGCTCAGCGATTGGGTGTCTGGTTAAAAGCAAGAGAGCTGGTTGTGCTAAAACCTTGGGGACACTGGGGCAATTGAAAACCCCTTCAGAGTTTAGGGTTCTAAGGGAAATGCAAAGGAGCCGGCATTCTTTTGCTTTACTCTTGGGTCTCAGGTGTTTGGGGTGAGTTGGGAAAATACCGTGTGGCCATGCTAGTGACAGCCAAGGTGGTGTTAGCGAGCCTCCTACAAGGGGTCCAGGACACGGGTGAAGACAAGGGCTGAACCATGTGTTAGCACCTAGCATGGTCCTTATGCCCACGGAGCTCCAAGGGACTCCCCGAAATGAGCGGATTCCAAGGAGGCTGGGCAGCAGGTGTAACAGCGAGAGCGGAAAGCCCTGGGGGGAGGGCGTTGCTGTCCAATGGCTCTCTGAACTCCAGCCTTAGCTCTGGTCTGGGAAACACTGATCAGAAGCTTGAAATGGACACTTTATATATGGATATAAGTCAATGTTATGTGTATAATGTATTATATGTGTGTAATATGTGTATATCACATGCATGTAATGTGTGTATTAAATATGTTGTATATTACATATGTGCAATACATAGAGGGTGTCCCAAAAAAAATGTATATCCACACTTTGAGTCATTTTAAAGACAATGTTTATTAAAATGCATTTCATTTCATTTCTTTTTTTTCTTCTTTTTTTTTTAATATAGTTTACTGATTTTTTATGGAGAGGAAAGGAGAGGGATAGAAAGTCAGAAACATCGATGAGAGAGAAACATCGGGGATGTGCCCGCAACCAAGGTACATGCCCTTGTCTGGAATTGAACCTGGGACCCTTGAGTGCGCAACCCGACGCTCTATCCACTGAGCCAAACCAGTTTCGGCAAAATGCATTTCATTTTCAAAATCGAGCTCTCAGCTATGAAAGTGCATATACATTTTTGAGACTCTCTGTGTATAACACACATCATCTATGCATGTACATATAATATACATAATATATTACCTATATTATATGTCACATATACAATATTTTTTCCATATTCTATGCAATCCGGGGGATGTGCTGGCTAGAGTGTGTGTGTTTGTAACCACAACCGCAATGATTTGCCGTGGCGATACTGCCAGTAGGGTTTATTTAGTAAGGATCTCGTGCTGCTTTTTGTACCTCCTCCTTTTTCCTGTTAGCTGCCTCCCTGAGTGACGGCCATGGCGTCAGTCCAGACTCGGTGAGGGCCCGTGTCCAGCCATCTTCTGCGGGACTTGTCCTCTGCCTGTGCTGTCCCAGGTGCTGTCCCAGGAGACACAGTGGCAGTGCATATGGGGAAGGTGAGGGCGGAGCGCGGCCAGCGGGGCTGAGGGGCCTGTCTGGCCTGGGGCCAGGGCCCAGTCCACTTCAGAGGCACCCACACGGAGCGGTGCTTCTCCCACATGAGTGTGTGCTCACAGGCGGCCTTGGGATAGCGGCAGAAGGCAGCCTCCGGTGCAGTCCATCCTGGGAAGGGCCCGGGACCCTGCATTTCTGAGAGCACCACACCTGGGGGGGGCAAGGCAGCTGGTGTGGGCAGAAGGGGTGCCGGGCGCTCTGCCCGAGCAGAGGCCAGCAGCCTCGGGGGATGCTGCTGAGAGAAGGGGTGGGAGGAAGAGCAGGTGAGCAGGAGGTGGCAGAGCCCACGCCGTCCTGCATCTGCCTTCACCCGACAGTGCTCAGCGCTGGCACCCGGCACCGCGGGGCAAGGACGGATGTTCCTGATAAAAGAATCTTCTTTTGAAAACCGGGTTGTTATGTTCGGGTTTATACAGTGAATAAGTCTGGAAGGTGTGAAATATGGGGTAAAAATATTTCCATCAAGAATTCTTAAATTAAAAATAAAACGTGGGCATCGCAGATACAAACATCTGTTAGAGGGGAAAGCACTCGCCGAGTCCAAGGCCTGGGGACACACAGCTTTCCCCAGACGGTAAGGCCGGGCCTGAGCTTTCCCCAGCCCGGAAGGCCCTGCGGAGCGCAGGGTGCCACCTGTGGGGGATCAGATTCCTGGCAACACAACCTCCTCTTGCCTCTCCCGGCTCTGTCCCCACTGAGCCACCCACCCCTCCGGCTCCGGCTCTGGCTCCGGCAAATGCAGGTTCCCAGTCAGTGGAGTTTCTGAAGAGTCGGCTGTTTCCCGAACCTTTTAGAAATAGGCCGGAGCCAGGATTTTGCAGAGGAGGAGGTGGTCTGAGCTTTAGGGGACGGGAAGGGCGGGGAGGGGACAGCTTGATCTATGGCGCAGGGAACCAGCCAATCAAAGGTCCCTCCTCCGGGCCCCGCTTCCCTGCCGCGGGCACACACGGAACACGGGGCGTTTGTGCGGCTCGCTGGGGGGTGAGAGGAGGGGAGTCCGGGGCGTCCGGTGGGTGTCGGTGAGAATTGTTTTCTAAGTGACACAATTATATTAAGGTGATGCATTTGCATAAAATGTCCACAGAATCTTTCACATTTTTTAAAAAAAGAGACTTGAGATTTTCTCCTTGAACATACTTTCGTAAAATAAACACAAACTCTCTCTCTCTCTCTCTCTCTCTCACACACACACACACACACACACACACACACACACACGCACACACACACCCCTACCAGATTTTACTCATGGAATGATTACGTGCAATTTCTGGTCCCACAGAACCTTTATATTTTTCACTATTGTTAATCACTAATCTCTACTCTACTGATCTTCTGTATAGAAGTAGAGATTCACAGGTTAGGAGGTATAAGGTAGTGAGAGGATTCCTAAGTGATGCCCTTTTAAAGCGGACTCTGTTTTTAAGTGTTCAAACATTCAGAACACCCACAGAGGCCTCCAGTCCTCGGAGTCTCCAGCTGGGGGGTCAGTGTCTACACTACACTTCCAGGCAGCTCTCAGTCCGTGTCATACCCAGAAAAAAACAACTTAGCGGAGACCGGGTTCCTCTAAACCAGGCCTGGGAATGGCTGGCCCATGGGCCCTATAAGGCCCTTGAAATCTTTCGGTCTGGCCCTGCCAAGGCATTCGGCGTGAGTTAATTAAATGTTTAACCAAATAGAGCGGGCTAATCTGTAAGTTGATAGTTGTGAATGGCCCTTGAATGATGTTATCGATATCCAAATGGCCCTCGGCAGGAAAAAGGCTCCTCGCCCCTGCTCTGAATAGCGACTGGGCCTGAGACCCTGGGGATGCCACAGGGCAGGTGGCACTTCGGTTGGAAGGCACCTGTTGGGCTTAGGTCGGGTCTCTGCCGCCGGGGGTGGGAGGAGCATCTGTCTGTCTGTCTGTCTGTCTCGGGAGAGCTGGCAGCACAGCGAGGCCCCGAGACAACAGGGCTTTGTGTGGAGTGTTGGGCTCTCCCCACACTAGTGGGCATGCCACGTCAGCTGCAGGCAATTCCAGTGACCTTCCCATTGAGCCCAGAAAAACCGCCAAGTGGCTCTACAATAACTGTGTACCCTGACCTCCTCACCACCCTCTTCTGAGCACGGTTTGCAGAGGAAAATGAGTAGAATGGTCTCCCGGGGGCTCTGACTCCCCCAGGGCGTGGGCAGGCCCACTCCCTCTGCCTTGTCCAGGGAAGGCTTCCCAGTCCCACTCGTGTCTGTGAGGTCCCGTCAGTCCACAGGGACCTGGTGCCCAGGCAGTGGGGCTCCCGCTCACACTCCACCTCTGCCTCTCACTGACCCCGCTGCCCGTGCTGGTGGGCAGGGGAAGCCAAACAGTTAACCCCTGCTCTCTCTGCACGGCCACCCTGGGGAGAGGAGAGACAGTGAAACACAAGCAGGCCCCTTGGGAGTTACAACATTGTTGGAAAACAAATCAGTTTCACTAAAACAGAGATGGTGACAGGAAGCCAGGAAGGCTGGTCAACAACCTTCATTGCTCTAACCACTAAACCTTTAGTTGAGACATCGTTAGCTGAAGCAGCCTCCACCTTGTTTGTCCCATGTAAGTGTCTGTTATTTCCTGCCTAAGGGCTACATGTAAATGTCTGTTTATGTTGCCTAAGATGTTTTCCCCAAAGCCTCAATAAAGGGGATGGCAGGGCCAGAGCAGGAGTAGTTCTCCCACTAGAGTTGGACTACCGCCTGGCCCCCATATCGCCACATTGAATTTCTTCAAGTCTCTTCATTTGTGTGCGGCCCTTCTCCAGAACCCGAACCCTGAATTGGAACTCTTTCCTATACAACATGAAACCAAAATGGGGAATTTCTGGAAAACACCATTCCTGAGGATGGGCCAAAATAACAGCCCCGCTCTACAAATAAAACCAGGTTTCACATGGAAATACCTGAAGATGGGGAAAGAGGCACCTTCATTTGGCTTATGTTTCCATGAGGCTGAACGTTAACTTCTTCTGCGTGTAGAAAGAGAAGGGTTTGGGAAAGAAGAAATGGGCTCAGCTTGGGAATTAGCAGTGGAGGGCAGCTGCCCCCCCCCCCCCCCTTGTCCATCTAACAAGGGAGAAGTGTGTGATCGCGGCTCTCACTGAGGTGGGTGAGCCTAATCCTCTCTGATTAAGGAAATTAATTTTAGAGGCTTAACTAAATATGCTTTGATTTTCATATTTTTTTCAGATTAGTTGACTTAGAAAATATCCAAATCTCTCTTGTGAAACAAATCATGTGTTTTGGCTTAGAAAATATGAGCATTGTTCATCCAGGCCCTTGCCATCCAGGAGTCCGAGGGTGGGCCTGTCCAGGGCAGGTGGCTGGGGAGTAAATGTCAGGTCAACACAGTGCTACCCAAGTAGCCTTTTCTCCCCCACGTGGCCAGGTGTGGGTGCAGACTGGAGCTGGGAGGGCGGGGCAGATGAGGCCATTCCTAAGGAGAGCTTGGGCAAAAGTGGTGGGAGCAGCCCTGGCCAATTTGGCTCAGTGGATAGAGCATCAGCCCAAGGACTGAAGGGTCTTGGGTTTCAGGCTCCGTCCCCGGCCCCTATGGGGATGCTTTCACATAGATGCTTCTTCTCTCTCTGTCTCTCCCTTCTCTCTAAAAATCAGTGGAAAATATATTATCTGGTGAGGATTAACACTAAAAACAAAACAGTGGGAGCAGCCCAAGGGGCTCTCCATGGCACAGGAGACCTCAGCGCCTCCTGGTGATGCAGGGGAGCCATGGGTCCGTGGGGAGAAGGGAGGGCTTGGCGCTGGATCTGAGATTCTCTGGATATACACATGCTCCTTTCTCTCTCTCTCTCTCTCTCTCTCTCTTTCTCTCTCTCTCCCCCACTTCAGATGTGACACCAGCCCGACCAGCTCCTCCCAGCAGCCACAGCCCTGGCTTAGACTTAGCCCAGAGAGGGAAACCTCATTGCTCTCTCTGTCCCCAAACAAGCCACATTTTCCGGGTGAGGACACGGATGCCCCCAGAGGGTGAGAAAGTTCATCACGCTGGTGCGCTACCCAAGTGGCATCTGGAATCTCATTTCCCATCTCAGGAATAAGCCAGATGAACCACCCCTGGACGTTCACACTCCCAACAGAGAGGTCTTGCTCTGGTTTTCTTTTCTCTTTTAACAGCGCCCTACCCCACACAGACATATGGAGCCTGTCACCCTAGCAACGTGACTCATAACACACAGGGAGGCCATTCCGCACGGCAGCTTTCAAGCCCCATCTGCTTGCCCATATAAAACAAAATTTATACTGAATGGGATTTTAGAAAAATCATCACCGCCTAAATTGAACATCGTTTGTTGGGAAACAAAGCATATGTTGGGAACTATGGTTCTGAGTCTTGGCTTGGGGCCATCTGAGTTCTGGGGAGGGGTAGGGGGGGGAGGGAGCCCTCTCCAGGCCCCTGGGGCTGTGGGGCCGACATGCCAGTTTAGACTTATTGTTGGGAAAGGACAGTCCTGAGCATCACACCCAACTGCTGCTCCAGTGGTCCTTGGGGCTGTTACAATTGTGGGAAAGTGGGCAAAGGTTTAACGGACAAGGGTGGACATTTTAAAGGTTGGGAAAAATGAGGAATTAAGGCTAGAAGCCATCATTAGCTTGGTCTGCTTGCTCCCAAGGGACCTATTTGACACAATAAGGTGAAGGGCATTGATGGGGGTTTGAGGAAAATTGCGACTTCCAGTTACCAAGAGGCCATGCGCAGTACTAGGTTGAATCCCCAGGACACTCCTGGGAGATATCTGCCGTTGTTCCCACTGTTCAGCATGGACCCCAGGCTGGGAAAGTCTGTTCCTTGGCCAAGGTCAGCCAGTAAGACACCCAGCGACACCATGGATTCCGGCGTCGCCTCCTAAAGGGCTGAGGCAGCCCAGGAGGGTCCGTCTCATTGGCAGGGCCTGTTTTTCTTCTTGACTATGAATTCCCTGGGAGACCACTCTCTGAGGACGTTAGGACGGCATCGTTCAAGGCGGAGAGTGCAGATGCAGGGCAGCTGTGAGGACACAGTATGCGGCACCCAGGGGTTCCCGGCACCCCCAAACGGAAGCTCACTGAAACCCTCAGGTTTGAGACCTTCGACTAGTCTGAATTTTGCAAGCTTTCCCAGCATTCTTCGATACATTTTTATTATATTTTGAGTGACTATTTGAGCTTCCCACACTAGGTGCTTGGCTCTGTCTGATGAAGTCATACCTAACCCTCATCGTATCTCGGGGTGGATGTTGACCTTCCCATTCTAAGGATGAGGAAGCAGAGGCAGAGACTCACCTGGTTTGCCCCACACCCCATCCTGGGCCCAGTGGGAGCTAGCTGCCAGGCTGTGGGCCATGTGGTGGGTGAGGCCACAGCCTCTGCTGTGAAACACCTGGGGCAGGAGGCGTGGCTTCACTTTCATGTGTTTGTTGGTTTCCCTTTCCTGGGGGCAGATGACATCATGAGTAGGCCCTGTTCTCTGTCCCCCCTGCCTTTGTCTCTGGAGCAGCCCTGACTCATTCCATTTGGGTTTGGATTTCAACCAATTGCAACCTAATCCCTCACACCGTTGGCAGAGAAAGAGCATCAAATATTAATCCAGAGTTTGGAAAGGAGACTCGGGAAGGGCAAGGGGCCTTCCCACTCAGCTCTTTCTCTTTCTCCGGTTCGGAACGGAAGCCAGGCAGTGAGTAGGGTGACTCTGGGAGGAGAGACCTCAGAGCTTCAGAACAAGGAGAGGAAGGGGGTGGCTCCTGAACCCACAGCATTAGCAACACTCAGCAGCTCAGCAGAAATGCAGGGTGGGGGTGTGCCCTCCCCATGAGGGGATTATAGCTGGAGGAGCACCCTTCTAACCCAATGGCTAGGCTCAGGGAGGGCAGAAACCGTGAACTCAGACCTCCTCTTTCTGACCATCAGATGGGAGGGAACTTAAGGCAGGAGTGGCAGAGAATCAGATCTGGGCTCCTGAGAGCTGGCCTTGGTTGGGAAATGCAGGTGGCTGATTAGGAGCCGGGTAAATGGGCCAACCTCAAGGTGTGGTGGCTGAGTTAGCAAAACCCAGCAGGTCAGATTGCACCCGCAGCGTTTTCCTTTCACAGAAGCACCGTGTGGGTTCTCCCCAGGAGGGCACGCGGGAAGTCGCCAGGCCGTGAGAGCGAGCAGTAGGAGAGCTGGCAGGTCCCTCTTCCTCTGGGAACCAGCACGATCATTCTCCTCCAGCAGCTCAGCTCATGAATTAACCATTTCCCCTGGAACTGAAATGGGAAGCGTTTCCTGGGGCAAAGGCACTTTCCTCCCCCTCGGGCTCCCTCTCTAAGTGCAGGTGAGCTCCAAGCCTGGGTGCCCTGCTCTGCAGAAATGCCCGCAGCTGACCTGTCCCCTTCCCAGGGTCATCTCACAGCTAAGCCTGAGCCAGGTCAGGATGGAAAGGCAATCCAGTGGAGCTTGGCGCTTTCTCAGCTCGTTGCCATGAATTGTTGGCAAGTCTTCCAAACTTTACTCGCTTAAAACTTGTCCTGAGTGGGATATAATTCACCCAGCCGCCTCCTCCAGGGTGCCAAGAGAAGGTTCATGAGCCAATGCCAATGTTTTGACTCCTAGGGGCAAGGAGCCTGTGAACACATCAAACACACTGGCTAGGTGTAGGTGAGCTCTTATTTTACTTATTTTTTATTAATTCTCACCTGAGGATATTGTTTCCATTGATTTTAGAGAGAGTGGAAGGGAGGGGGAGAGACAGAGGGAGAGAGAAACATCAGTGTGTGAGAGACGCATCAATACATTGCCTCCTGCTCACACCTCGGCCAGGGCCCGGGATGGAGCCTGCAAACCCTACGCTAAACTCCATTTGTTTAGAAATCATGCTCACTAGCTTTTCTGTTTCCGGCAAAATTAGGACGACATTTATCCCTGACCGTCAGGGGAAGTGATTGGGAGCTGTAAATGTCGCATCAAGCCCTCACTAACCTTTCTCCTTTGAGTTGTATTCTAAATTAAATCCCTGTGGTTGGACTTGGAGTTTCGTTTGTGCCCGCGCTCCAAAAATTATCTTGCACGCAGTTGGGATGTTCATGTACGGTGGGAGCAGGGCTGTGGGTTTTAATGTTTTCCAAGACATTAAGTAGAGGCTGACTGCTTCAAAAACACAATATTTAATTTTTTGCAAACATCTTTTTTCCCCCTCAACTGTAATACAATTAAAGAGGGTTTTTTGGAGAAGGAAATGAAATGAGTGAAATAGGAATTGACCATGCGTGGACCAGGAGTTACTTGACAAAAGGGCCCTCATTTGTAGGGGACAAAGGGTGAGACTCGGAGGGGAAAATATCTTGAAGCCACAGGATCCCTGCTGAACTGGAAATTGAATGGTGACATGAATAAAGCCTCATTGATAAAACATGCGAGCTACTGAGATAGATGGGAAAGGCAGGGAATGAAATCAAACACAATCCACTTTTGCTGAAAAACAACCTTGAGCAGCGATGCTTCACCCCACGGTTAATATAAAACAAGTCATTATTTGAAAAGGAAAGAGAAAAAAAGAAAGCTCGCCTGATTACATCACATCAATAATGCATTTTCTAGAAGCTCATCATGGTCCTTTCTATAACGGCCAATAATGGAGAGAAATCACCTTTTATCTGCTCCTGCCTGGGAGGATTTACTTCGTTATCCTGTTGGGGTTGAACCTGTGAAAATTCTCCGGGGGCTCTGAGCGGGGGAACCCAGGCCTCTGTGTAGGCATCCAAAATAATCCAGGAAAAATAACAGCCACTCTCACTTCCACTCTCACCTCCAGCAAGATGCTTTTTGTTTTAATTATCCAGAAAATTAAGTTAATCCTTCACTTAGTTGTGCCTTTAGACCAATGGTCATAGCCTATGTGTGCTCTCTTAGTCTGTAATTACTAGCATTTCTGGGTGCTGGGGCTACTCAAGGCGATCCATATTCCTTAACTCTTTTTTTGTTAAAGAAAATCCTCTCCCAAGGATATTTTTCCCATTGATTTTTTTTTGTTTGTTTTTTTGTTTGTTTGTTTTTGTTTTTTTGAGAGAGTGGAAGGGCCTGGGGGAGAGAAACATCAATGATGAGAGAGAATCATTGATCAGCTCCCCCCGGCACACCCTCTAGTGGAGATTGAGCCTGCAACCTGATCATGTGCCCTTGACCAGAATTGAATCCATGAAACCTTTGGTGCATGGGCCAACACCAAATTCCTTAATTCTTAGGCTCTTGGTCTGAATTGGAAAAGAATCAAAGTAATACCTAAATCTTGGTTAGGATTCAATGAGAGAAGATAAAGTAAACCATGTGTCCATTGCCACATCTGATACCTGGGGCTGGTTCCATTTATTCTCTTACTCATCTTTTACTTTTTAAAAAATATATATATTGTTATTATTTCAGAGAGGAAGAGAGGAGAGAGAAACATCAATGATGAGAGAGAATCATTGATCAGCTGCCCTTGGCACGCCCTCTAGTGGAGATTGAGCCTGCAACCTGATCATGTGCCCTTGACCAAAATCAAACCCGGGACCCTTCAGTCCACAGGCTGATGCTCTATCCACTGAGCCAAACCGGCTAGGGTGTTGTCCATTAACTCTTTTGGCAGCAGTCATTACTGACCACTCATGAAATGCTCCCTTGCAGAAACATGAACCAACGAGTGAGAAACAAGAAAACAGAACAGTGTGAGATTAATGCGCTAAATGATGTATGTAGTTGTGAACAAACGGGGCACCTGGTCCAGCACCCAGCCGCGTGGGAAGGGGGAGGGGTTCCCATAGAAGGGAAGCCAGGCAGGCGCACGTGGGCAGGAGGGACCCAGAGGGCAGAGTGAGCTCTGCTGCTTTCTGAGAAAGCTGTTCGCTAGGCCTTGGCTGCGGTAAGAGAGAGCACAGGGGCGGCAGGGGCCACAGTGTGAGGAGCTCAGACACCTTGGACGTAACAGAGCTCAGAACTCTGTTACAAGGACAACAGAGAGTCGCAGTATCATTTTCCTAAAAAACAGCATTTGGTTTTTTCATATTGCAGATGTTTAGGCATGTTGATGAAAGGGAAGTGCAGGAAAGCTTACCAGTCCTACGTAATAAAAGGCTAATAGGCAAATTGACCAAACGGCAGAACAACCGGTCGCTATGATGTGCACTGACCTCCAGGGGGCAGATGCTCAAAGCAGGTCTGTGCACTGCCTCAGAGGGAGCGCCGCTCGGCCAGAAGCCCAGCTCACAGCCGGCGAGGGCAGCGGCAGTGGCAGGAGCCTCCCAGGAGAGGGCAGCGCGAAGGGTGTCTGACTGCCGGCGTAGGTCCACTCCCCGGGGCAGGGAGCAGGCCTAAGCCATCAGTCAGACATCCCACAAGGGCTCCAGGACTGCGAGAGGGCACAGGCCGGGCTAAGGGATTCCCCTCCCCAACCCCCCACCCCCAGCCTCTAGTGAGAATATAAATGAGCAGCCCCTCAGTCCTCATCCAGAGGCAAACATTGTGAATATTTTGGTGTAATATTATTCACAATTTTTATTGCTTCTTCTTGTTACAGACATTGCATGGTAACTTAACAATTTGCATTCCTTTGTTTAATAATGAAGTTAGCCAAAACCGGTTTGGCTCAGTGGATAGAGCGTCGGCCTGTGGACTGAAAGGTCCCGGGTTCGATTCCGGTCAAGGGCATGTATCTTGGTTGCAGGCACATCCCCAGTAGGGGGTGTGCAAGAGGCAGCTGGTCGATGATTCTCTCTCATTGATGTCTCTAACTCTCTATCCCTCTCCCTTCCTCTCTGTAAAAAAATCAATAAAATATATTTAATAAATAAATAAATAAATAAAAAGTTAAACACATTTTAATATATTCATTGGTAATTTTTTTCTTCTCTTTCAAATCATGTGTTAGTGAACCTTGGCCATTTATTGTATTAATTCTTTTCTTACCAAATCTTATATGAAGGCATATATAAAAAATATTCTTGTTAGTAAATAATTTGCTGTTAAATTATATTCGTGACTATTTTGTTGCAAAGAAGCGGTAGCAGGAGTTTCCAGAATGTTGGGAGCTGACTCCATGGCTCGCTCTCTGCCTGTGCGTGCTGTGCTGGTGGCCTTGGCTCAGCGCGGGTCCTCACAGCACGTCTGTGTGAACGTCTGTGGTTATCCTGGCGATCACAGCTTCTCTCCACACGCAGTTTGGTCTCTGCACGGTGTGAGGCCAGGCTCCTGTGGGGTTACTCCCCCGAAGCTTAGCCGATGCCTCCACCTCTGTGATGGGAAACCCAGCCTTTCACACACACACACACACCCTTTTTTTTTTTCACTGAGGGAACCAGTCTTTGGAGCCAGTTCCTGCTGCAGAGCAGAAAGCAGAACAGCTCCGGCCGCTCACACTTCCTGGAAGGCCGGGGCTGTTAGGCATGGCCGCACCTTTTCCTTCCTTTTTCCTGGAACATGGGCGGCTTCTGTCGGGTTAAGGGAACCATCTTCCCGCCAGGCGGGCAGCCAGCTGCTGAGGATGGGGGGCCGGCGGACCTGGGCCCCTGGCTCTCTGGGGTCCTCGTGCTAGCTCCGATGGCTTGCTGGGGGGCAGGACAGGAGCCTCTGGGGGGCTGGTCATGCTAGGAGGACCCTTAAGCGTAGGAGGGTAACAACAGCATCGGGGATTTAAGAAGGCTCCGCACACTTTGGGAAAAGCACCAGTTCTCTCCTCTCCCACGCCCTCCCTCCGGCGCAGCTGGGAAGCGAGTTCAGATTGTGGTGGAGACACAGCGGGGAGAAAGCAGGTGCCGTCTTTACGTTCTGCAGCTATTGTGCTGCAGAGAGGACAGATGTTTACCAAACACACACACCACACACCACACTCCACACACCACACACCACACACCCCGGAGAAAACCCACACCGCCCTCCTAGCCCGCGGGATACTGGAAAAGAGGAATCAGTTCTCCCCGGCTGCAGTGCCCTGGTCTCCTTGGAGACCACCGGGGGACAAGAGCTGCAGGAAAGCCACGGAGCATGGTGGGCGGGGGAGAGGCAGAGCCGATCGTGGTCTGTTCAGGTGAGGAGCCTCCCAGATCCTGGTGAGGACACGTGCCCAGGTTACGGGCTCCATCCCCCGTTGGGGGTGTGCAGGAGGCAGCTGATCAATGATTCTCTCTCGTCATTGATGTTTCTATCTCTCCCTCTCCTCTCCTCTCTGAAATCAATAAAATTAGAAAATAAAAAAAATCAATAAAAATATATTTAAAGTAAAAATGTCATACTTTCTTTTTTTGTTAATCCTCATCTGAGGACATTTTTCCATCGGTTTTTAGAGAGAATAGAAGCAAGGGGGGGAGGCAGAAAGAAAGAGAAACGTCGATGTGAGAAGAGATGCGTGGATTGGCTGCCTCCCGGATGGAGCCTGCAGCTGAGGTACATGCTCTTGACCAGAACTGAAGCCAGGACACGTCAGTCCGTGGGCTGATGCTCCACCCACCATGCCAAACCGGCCAGGGCAAGACGACATATTTTCCAGGTGATTGAAGTTGGGTGGTCAACCAAGGACCCTGAGGATGTCATGGTCGTAAAACTATTTAATAGTTGGTCTTTCTGAGTCTCGTGTGTAAATAATACCTAGCTCAGATGAGATCAAGTATGTGAAACACGTTACATGTAAGCGAAGGGTCAGCACAAGGGCGCCCGGTAAACATCTCCTATGTAATTGTTTATATCACGAGACAGAACGTGATGGAATCACTTTTTAAGAGCACATAATTTGGGTCGGATTCCTAGTCTGGCCTTGTTTGACCTTGGGACACAAATAAACCTGCTGTTAAACGGGGAAAATAGTTCTATTGGGAGGAGTCTTTATGCAAATAGAGCTGATGCGAAGAAAGTCCTCAAGAAATGGTGGCTTCTCTGTCTGAACATTCACGCACCACCCTCAGGTGTGTGTATCTTACCTGTTTCTCTGAGACTAAACCACGGTGGAAGTACCGGCCCACCCAATTCCTAGAGCTGCGCCCAGAGTGCCACCCTTTCCCCAAGAGCAACATCGAGACAGAACGTCCGACAGTGCCTCCTCCCCCTCCTGAAGTCCTGCCGGGCTGCACGGCCAGCGGCTCTGCGTGCATGGCGCCTCGGAGTGCTCAGGGAGTGTGGGTGCGATGTTAATGGGTAATTATTAACGTTTTCACTCCGCTGCTTTGCCGATGACTCCCCCTTTTTTGTGCTGTACATCCGGGTGGTTTATTTTTTTGTGTTTGGCCATCCCTGGGCCTGGCTTCCTGGAGGTAACTGTGCTGTTGTGACTAATTACAGACGATGTCACCGGGAAGAGAGCGCTGTGGAGGTTCGGGTGTCCTGATGTCTCCGAAGAATTTACGGAGCAGCACAGAGTGAGTGCTAACATCCTCGCTCCCCTCCCACTTAATCTGGTTGTCACCAGAGGATGAGAGAGGTGACTTAAGCCAAGGTGATCACACAGACGTGCTAGGCTCCCAGGAGCACGTCCTGTCACGCCGGCCTGGTTCTGCCGGGGTCTGGGCAAACGGTGTAGATTCTCTCCCATCCCGTGGACCGGACTGAAACATGTCTTCGCAGAGGGTGTCCTGGGAGGATCCACTCTTTTCTTTCCTTAACTTTGTGAAGCAGCCCTTTCCCTAACATTCCCTCCCCTGCAGTTAAGTTGAAGGTACTCTTATTAGCATAAAAACCGTTATCCGTCCTGAAGAAACCTGATTTTCAGATCTTGAAGTTTCTGTAAACACTTTGCAGAGTTTATCCCATTTAACAGGGCTTCCATGATAACGCAGTTCCAGCATGAAAGCTCGGGATAAAAGGTCGTTTTGATGTTAGGATCGAATCCAGCATCTGTTTAGCAGAACTCTGTGTACAAAACAAAGCAGAGCAGGGCCGCTTCCTACAACAGGAGAGACGAAATGAGGGCTTTGGCCTCAGAGAACAGGAGAGCTGGGAGCCATCAGCGTCAACTAAAACTTCTAATAACCCAAGTCAACTGCACTTGGTAGCATGGGCATTCTAAAAACAGTATTTTTATTGCTGGCTCAGCCAAGAACTTTCCCTCCAGGCTATTGACTCTTTCTAAGCACGCACGATATCAGAAATGGGGTTAAAGACATCATGCAAAGAAACCAATCATTGCAATAAAAGTCATAAATTAAAAGAATGAATTTTGCTGAGGAACGTAAGCTGACACCTGCAGTGTAAAATATGAGGAACTTAAGCTGACACCTGCAGTGTAAAAAAAGTCAACTATATCATTACTTCGTGAAATGATTAAACAGGCAGCGGTAGGTTTAATTCCTGTGACTTAGCAACCTGAGCGTGAACTCCTATCTACTGTATAAGAAAACCATGACGTATCCTGCTTGTCTCTTTCTCGGTATCTATTAATATTAAAGGCAAGAGTAGAAGAAATTGCTTAAATTTCAGACTATAGTTGGTAATGCTGTATTGTATAATTGAAACTTGCTAAAAAAAAAAAAAAAAGTAGAACCTAAATACACATACATACACACACACACACACACACACACAAATAAAGATAAATATGTGAGGTGATGGACGGATTCATTAACTAGATGGGGAGAAAAAAAATCCTTTCATGACATATACGTATATCAAATCACCATGACGTACACTTTGAATATTTTACAATTCTATACGTCAGTTATATCTTAGTAAAATTGAAATTAAAAAAAGTTCAGGCCTTCATTTATTGAATCCTTTAAGTTAATAGTGTCATAGATTTAAACATCTATTCTAAAATAAACGACTTTTCATTTTGCATTGGGAATTCTGAGCATACCTCCCCTCCCAACCCCCCCACCCTGCCCCAACCCCTATCCCTTATTCCCTGCCTAAGACGTTACTTTGGGGAAGGAGGTTTTAGAAATTGCAGCAAGACTTCCTGCATGTGACAATGAAATCAGACTTTCTGAGAAGCTGTCAAGAACAATCAAAAAAGATGTTGCTTTTTACGCAGAAAACTCGCTAAAGAATAGTCCGCCTCTTAGTCAATGAGTAGATTCTCATTATTTATTTAGATTTCCCTGGCAGTTTTACTCTGAAGAGCTCATTAGAGTTAATTATTCCGATATCGTGTTCATTTTTAGACTTTTGGCACTTACATCTATGTTTATGTTCAGATTTCACCCACTACATATGTCCTGGGTCTAGTCCCATCTCTCCATTTCCATCGCCATAAGCCCAATCGAGGCTGTCATGGTCTTTCACTCAGAGTGGGATTGCCTGTAAACTGGGCTTCTTTCCTCCACCTTGCCTCCTCTCTCTGTTCTCCACTCCACGGTCCCCATGATATTTCCTCAGCAAAGAAGGCAGCTGGTGGGACTTGGATAAAGTTTACATTAACTGTTGGCCCATGAATCAAGAGGTCGTCGCTGCTTCTGTTGAAGCTTGTGGGCTTGATTCTCCGTAGGGGATGTGTAGGCGGCAGCCTATCAGCGATTCTCTCTCATCATTGATATTTCTATCTCTCTCCCTCTCTCTTCCTCTCTCTTTCTAAAATCAATTAAAATGTATATTTTTAAAGATTACACTGAATCTGTAAGATCAATTTGGGGAGTGTTGAGGCTGTTCAGTCTCTGAGCCATGAAAATGTCTCTTCTAATTTCTTTTAACAATGTTTTGTAGATTTATTTTATTTCAGCAAATATTTATTGAGTCAGTTTTCTATGATATATCTGCTAGACTTTGAATATACTATGAAAATAATTGCCCCTTTATAGTCTCTAACGTATTGAAGTTTTAACAGTACAAGTTTTGTAGTTTTTTTTTGTTAATTTTACTCTGTTTTATTGTTTTTTGGTGTTATTGTAAGTGGAATGTTTTTCTTCATTTTGTTCTCAGGTTTTCATTGGTGCCTTATAGAAAAAGAGCTGATTTTTGTAGATCTTGTATCCTGCAACTCAATTATTAGTGAATCCTTAGGATTTTTTATATAAAAATAATTTCATTATTACTTCTTTCTTTGTAATTTCAATGACTTTTATTTATTTTTCTTATCTAATAGCTTTGTCTAGTACTTTAGTTGAATAGAGATGGTAAGAGTAGACATCCTTGTCTTGTTCCTAATCTCGTTTTTCACCAGTAAGCATGATATTCCCTGTGAGATTTTTGGAAATTTTTTTTTATTTCTACTTTGTTGAATTTATTTTTTCATGAAAGGTTGTTGAATAGTGTCAAATGCTTTTTCTCTGTCTATTGAGATTATCATGTAGTTTTTGTCCTTTTCCTCTCTATTCTTCTGATTATGTACTCTCTATCGATCTCCCTTCATGTTTGCTAATTGTTTCTTCTGTCAGTTCAAATCTACTGTTGAACCACTTTAGTGAATTTTGATTCATTATTGTCCTTTTCAACTCAAGTTTCCATTTGCCCCTTTTATATACTGCATATCTGCTGACCTTCTCTCTTTGATGAGGCAGTCATCATACCTCTTCCTTTGCTTCCTTAGGCAGCCTCTTTCTGTTCTTTGAAATGTATAATTGCTGCTTTGAACCCTTCAAAGAGCGTGTTGCCGGCTCTTTCTTTCTGTTTATGGACAACACTTTCCTGTTCGTTTTCACGTCTCAATAGTAGATGGTAGCCAGTATGAGTATTGCCTCCTCCCCAGCCCATTGGCTATTCTAATTAATTGCTTTCTTATTTATTGAGTGACGTAGCCGGGCCAATTCAGTGACGTCTATGTCCCATGCAGTGTGCATGCCCTGATGTTGCTCCCTAGAGGGTGGGGCCTCAGGCTTGTGCACAGTTTCACTGACCCCCTTCCCCAGGGATGAGGATGGTCTTAGTCTGTTCTCTTTGTCTCTTCCCCTGGATTCCCCATTAAGCTTCAGGCTGGTTATTGCACCTAACTGTTAGCCTCCACTACTTGCTAGATGATTTCTCTATTGTTTTTGACAAACATCTTGGCTCATAAATTGCTCCACAGTCTGATCCAATTAAAGTTGGGTCCCTTTGCTCTCCAGGTCTTTGAAGCTGATTTACCCCCGGAGAGCTCTTCTCAGCTTTCTTGTTTTCTCTGTTGCACATCTAGTGGCTCTAGCACTTTTTCTTGTTGCTATGGAGACTGCTCTTAATTGCTCACCTCCTAGAACTCAATTGTTTTCATCAATGCCCTTGGGCTTGAACTTTCGCATGGTCTGTTGCAAATAAAGAGGTGCCTTTCCTGACATCTCTGTTTAAACTGATATCACTGCCACTCTCTTTTATTTACCCTGTTGTATTTTTCTTCATAGCCCTTACATCGACCTGACATTACATGAAATATTTGTTTACTCATTGTCTATCTCCACCACTACAATGTAAGCTTTCTGAGGGCAGACTTAATGTGATATGCCCAGTTCCCAGTAGAGTGCTTACTGTACAGTAGGCATAATAAATAGTAGGTGATTTAGTGACTCATGACGGAACAAGTGAGTCAAAGAACACCACTATTGATCTCAAGGAAAAGGGAAAATTCACAGTGAGAGTTCAGTCTTTGCATACAGATGACTATTCAGAAAACCTTTGAAGTTTATGATAAAACTAGTGCCCCAGTGCACAGATTCATGCACTTTGAAAGGAAATCAATTAGAAGGTGGCCAGCAGGGCAGGACTGGGTCAGAAGGACAGACACACCCTGGAGCCAACCTCCCACGGTCCCCCCTCGGCCAGCTGCACCTCGCACAGCGCTGCTGCTCAAAGAACATCTGCAGAGTGAGTGGGGTCCCGCCAGCATGTGGGCTCCCTCGGCCTGGCCTGTGGGGATCAGGCCGAAACCAGCTCTGTGGCAACCCCTTTGGGGTCCCAGATTGCGAGAGGGCAGTTCTTAGGTGATGCACCCCCGAATTGAGCTCCCTCTTTTCTGGTTCTGGGTGCGTCATCCAAGAACCACTGCTGCCAAGTCACTGCAGCTCAGCAGCTCCTGCATTGAGCATCTGCCCCCTGGTGGTCAGTGTGTGTCATACCTGCCAGCCAGTCAGCCGGTTGGATGGTCGCTTAGCCTATTATGTATGTTGTATAGAGAACAGTGTTGAGAAAATGAAAAGTAGGTTGGGATGAATGCGTCTAATACCCCAAATAAAGATGAACTCAGTAATGATGATGATGATAACACTAACGACAATAGCAGCACAGCTATGATGAACTTCATGCTTCTCGTAGGCCCAGCCCTGTGCTGTGCTTACACCTACTATTTCACTGAAGACAATGGTGCTTTGAGGGAGGTACTGTTTTTGCAGGTGTGTATAGTTGTGAGCACAGAAAGGCTAAGGAGAAAATGCAGGACAGCAGCACAACTAGGAAATGGCACAAGTGGGTGTGCAGACTGGGCACTTAGACTTCGAAGCCAATTTTATTACATAAACTACGGTACCATGTTTAAACAGACACAATATTAGGATGGAGGAAATGGTTAAAAACAAAGGATACCAAATGAGAATTTTCAAAGATCCCCAACAGCTGTGGGTAAAAGCAAGAGGGTGTTAATATTGGTTCTCAAATTATTTTGGCCCAATACCTTGTTTTTGGAGAATGACCTCAGTCCCCTATGAAGTTCACTTTCCTCAGCCCCTCTCAAAAATGCCGAGGAATCCCCACGAGGTGTCTCATTCATCTCAGTCATCTCAAAATCAGTCTAGGCCCTGCCGTCGGAGTTGACCCTGAACCATGCTAGGGGGTTGGGGGTGGCAGCAGTACCCTCCTGGCAGAAGAGGTGGAAAGTGGAAACATGTAGCAGTGAGTCAGCGCGGGAAGGGAAATGGAAAACCTGTGTCACAGCACCACCTTCTGGAAACAAAGGAAGGGTTTCAAGTTGTCAGCCTGGTGCCCAGTTAGTATACAAAGCCTTTGGTGATTGAGGTGTTTGCAACTTCAGGTGCTATGGCAAAGGCTCATTTCATCAAACACTGGGGAAAGTCACAGGAATGCAGCATTGCAAAAGAAATGACAGTCCTCCAGCACCCGAACTTAGAGGCATTAAATCTCACTGATAACACATCTCACGTGCTGTTCTGAAGAAGTCCAGATGAGATACAAGAAAACTCAGAAAGGCAATTGTTTGAACTCAAGAATAAAATTCATGAATAAAAGGAGTACTTTACCTAGTAGATTGAAATTATAAAGAGAACCAAGCATAGGTTGAAGAACTCAATGAATGAGATAAAGAATGCATTAGAAAGTATTGGTAATAGGTCAGATCCAAATGGAAGAGAAATAAGTGATCTGAAAGATAGGAATTTAGAAATTATTCAGGAAGGAGAGACGAGAGAACTAAAAATTTTTTTTAAATGAAGAAGAGAAAAAAAAAAAAAACAAACATGAGAGCTATCTAGTAGGAAAGCTATCTTAAATGAAAGGTGTAATGTGCAAATTGGTCAGGACGCCCTCACAGTAGCAACTGAACAGCAAGCTGCATGGGGCAACAATGCCAGCAGGGGGATCAGTGAGGGATGACCAAACAACTGAAGAACAGGCTGCATGGGGTGACCAGGCTGGCAGGGGGGCAGTTGGGAGAGATCAGGCTGGCAGACAGAGGTCGTTAGGGTGATTAGGCTGGCAGGGGGAGCAATTAGGGCCAATCAGGCAGGCAGGCAGGTGAGCAGTTAGGAGCCAGCAGTCTCGGTGAGAATTAACAATAACAAAAAAGAAAAAAGACTAATTTTAATAATCCTGTATTGCATATTTAAAATTTTCTAAAAGAATAAATCTGGAAAATCTTCATTATAAGAAATAAATGTGTAATTATATATGGGGATAGATATTAACTAGAGTTATTATGGTGATCATTTTGCAATATAATAATTTTTTTCACTTTGCCTCTTTACATGTTGCTTCTGCCCAATTCTTTCTCTTCTCCTTTTCTAGGACACCAGCGATGGGCCTGTTAGACCTTTGCCCTGTGCCCTTCATGTCTTCTGTGCAATTTTATATAAGTTTTATCCCTCTCCCTCCTCTCTTTTCCAACCTGATATTTTCTAGTGACCTATTCCAGTTTTCATCTTCTGTGTCTAATCATAATTTCCATTTGATTTTAAAAAGGAAATATAAAATCAAATTTCCATTTGATTTTATATTTCTGGCATAAATATAAAATTCTCCATATTTCATCTTATTTCTTCAAATCATTAATCAGCCATTTTAAAGTCACTCAATTCTCTGTCTTTGTGCACCTGTTTCTGTTTCCTATTTGTGTTCGTAGTTGTGGTTATTAGTCTTAACTTCTGATGTGCCTGTCCATATTTATTGAAAGGTGGACATTGTGTATAAAAATGTGAGAGGCAGTTTGCTGATGTGGAGGGGGTCATCGTCCCCCAGAGATTACTTTGCCAGGGCTGGCAGAGGGGGGTAGGCTGCGGCACTGACCAACCCCCTAATCTGTCCAACAATTACCTAATGAAGTCGATTAGAAATTGCGATTCCACCTTGTGGGGCAGCATTTCTGGTTCATACCTCCTCCCGAGGCGCAGCCCTGCAGGTCCTACCTGAAAGCTAACGTTGACTGTAAGGGAGGCCCCTCCTCGGGGACCCCAGACTCCGCTTCTGGCCCCTGAGCCAGGGAACCTGCACTTTAGAGCGTCGTAGCCACCCCTTTCTGCTCGATTCTTTTGCCTCTGAGGCCAGTGAGCAGCACCTCGAGAGAGAGCTGAGCCGAGCTGAGCTTCAGGCTCAGCTTTGTACCCGCTTCTCCTGCGGACCTTGTCCCTCCAGACCTCACCGCAGGCCAGTTTTCCGGAGACTTCACAGCAGGAGGTTTTACAGTCCACCCCTTTGTCCAGGTGTTCTCAGGCAGTCTTCTCTACCATCACTGACATTTGAATTGTCTCCGGCCTGAGCTGCTTTGAAGCAGAGAACATCTTTCCTCCCTTCGCACAGACCTTGCGCCGAGGCTGGCACGGATCTCCTTC